ACAATCTTTGACCATACTCAAGCTGATTTGCACAGATTGTGGGCTTGTTATCCCTTTTTGTAGAGATATGCCGTCTATCAGATCAATACTACTTAATAAGTCAGTGTCAATGCCTTCTGAAATTAGACATGAGATGAGTTTTTCATAGTAAGATATATATTCAGCAACATCAACCTTCACATTTATTTTAGTTTGAATGTCCAATAGGCGGATAAACACTTCACAGATGGTACAAGAGGAAAAAGACCTTGACGGCTCTGGACTCCAGTGTTCCAGTGTGACCTGCTGACATTCCTTTCATTCCTTCTCTGACTTTGTGTTTAGAGGTGTCATTATGGCTCAACACAAATACACTGAGCTGCATTGTTGCAAAAACAAACTCAGACGTCATTCTGCACACACATAAACACAACTCCTGCAACTCTGACGGTTTCATAGCAATTCTTTTTGCAACCAATAGAGCAGTGGTATCTCACTGAAATAGTGAGTGTGTTACTGGGGCTGTTTGAGGGTCACATGTTGCAGAGACAGAGGACGTTTGGACCTGAATTCAGAAAGGTTTCTCACACAAAACCTACACTACACTACCTGTAGAGTGAAATCTGTGCCGCTTGAGTTGTCTGCTTGAACTGTTTGACGGGAACCACAATGAGCATTGTTCATGACAAGTTGATAGTTTTCGATGACACAGCATCGTGCACACAGCTGTAAACATGGTGGAGCTAAACACGATGATGATGTTGGTGCTGCGAGGTGGAAGAGAGAAAAGGTTAAAGTCATGTTTTCTTCTTTAGTCTTTTCTCATTTTAAACCTTTTACCTTTTTTCCCCCAGGCATCGTCAAATTGACTCATCCTCTTCCCGGTCTCACTCATGCATCAGCTGTACCAGAGAAGCCTTCAGGACCCAATCCAAGTCGGCACCTCAAACAGTGGTTTCTGAGTACCAAAGCAGCTGCAGCGGACCGGACGACAAGACTCACGGACAGAACCACAGCAGGGACGATCACTGCAGCCATCAAGGCTGGACGACTAAGAGCCAAGCCGAGGACAGACGGTCCAGACAAACAAGCTCAGATGCTGAAGATGATATCAGTGCTGGAGGAGCTGCACAGGACATTAAACAGCACCTTGAGCTCAAGGATCACCATCATGCCAAGAGGTAATGCCACTATGAACATAGTGTATGGCTGTGGAAACAGAGGTCAATGAAGTCACTGTAGAGATGGGAAAAGTCACAGGAAGAAGGAAACTTAATGAAGACTTGAGGGAGTTGATGTTCTTGAACACAGAATATACTTTCTTTAACAAACACCAAACAACTGTGATTGCAGTTTTCTGCATTAGCACTGAGAATTCTTTGTAAATACATTTAAAAATTCCAGTTAAACGGAAATAGATTGAATGTTCCTATCGAGTATATCTTGTCCTAATAGTCTTGTTTCTTACATTTAGTGCAAATGGCTGCTGAAAAGGTCAATTAATATACAAGAGTAAAAAGTGTCTCTCTAGCTTTCTGTGTATTTAAGGGAATTTTTGGTGTAGTTACAGGACTTATCCCAACATGCAATGGTGGGAGGACAGTCTCTGTTTGTCTCCACATTAATCTAAGACTAAGGCCACAACGTTGCTCTTTATCAGTGACACTTTCTCTAAAGCCGCTTTTTGTTTTCAATTTCAGCAAATGGAAGAAGTTCAGGAAGAAAAAATAAAGTGGTACGTTCCTGGAATTTTCCTTTTCTTTTTAAAATGTAAAGATTAATTATTTGTGTTTATAGAAACTGATTTGTTTGTATGAGTTAATCAGGATCTTTTCTTTTTTCCATGCATAAAGCCTCCTGCTTCTGACGGAGGTGTGAAGCAAACCACTGCAGCCCCGGCGGTGGCAAACAGCACCGCTTCCAAAACCAGTGCGGACGCCGTCAATCCCAGTCTGACAGGTCGAAACTTCAGGAAGTCCCTCCCACCACAGACCAAGAAGACCAACAAAAGAGGTGAAACTACATCTCCACATCTGATGAATCGCATGGCCTGTAAATTAAAGCCTGAAATGAAAACGTTTATTCACTGCTTTTATGGTTGTCTCTTTGACTTTATGAAATTATTGAAACTGTTAAGTAATAAAACCTTCTTCTCTGTTTCTTCTAGTGTGTTTCTGGAAGTACTGCTCCCAGAACTGATTGTCCCTCAACTGCTAGTCTCCGTTTTTAGTCTAAGACCCTTCTCTTCTCCGCCTCCATCTATCCATCAATCCATCCAAATCATCCATCCATCCATCCATCCACGGTAAGATGTGTACATCTTGTACAACATTTTAGTTGCAGGTTCCTGAAAACGTCTGTTTTAGTTCAGTCCTGATGCTGAGTCACAAACTTCTAAATGGTTCAGAATAACTACAGCAGGACTGTAGGTAAATATGTGCTTGATCACATGCTATGCCTTTTCCTTACAAATATGTGAACTTTAAAGAAGAGGTCACCTCGGCATAAAACGAGGCTCACAGTTTTCCTTCTTAGTGAGGTTTGGAAAGTTCAGAGATTTGTTAACAGGAGGAAAGATTACACAGACCACAATACAATAAAATTGACCAATGATAATTCAACTTGAAACATCAGAGAATCGAGCTTGAACTGCTAAATCTTGCACCTTGGTTTCATCCACCCATCCATCTCTTCATCCATCCCTCCATCGCTCGTCCTCTCCTCTGGCACCGCTCTGACCTCTGAGTGCTAGGAGACAGTTTCCGTGGCATCCGGAAGCCCCAAACCTCCCCCGACACCGGCGCCAGCCTCGACTCGGACCTTTTCATTCACTCATTAATTAACAAGACTGACCAATCAAAGAAGACGATGTGTTGCCCGTGGCCGGGCTCATGAACAAACACGCTGTTAACCCTTTCTTTACCTCGACAAACACACGTCGTTTTTGTATGTGTGCGCTAACTTTAAAATAAAATTCATTTCTAGCATTGCAAAAACCCCATTGTGACAATAAAGATTGATATTTTATTTTTTACAGATACACTCTCTTTAGTTGTTAATTATGCGTACAGAGTCACACTCTGAGGTCACCTGCCAAATCTCTCCAGAACAGAAGCATGCAACTTAAATTCTACTGTACAGTACAAGTGCATTAAAAGGAGGTCCCCGCTTGAAATGTATCTTTTCATACATCACATGCCTCCAGGAACTCTAAATGCTTCTCTTGGTTTGGTTTCATACAAAGTCTGCAATTGTCTGCTGATATAAAATACTTTTTGGTGAGGGATTGAGTTCTCTGAAAGGCTTAAAAAAACAGGATTTTGTTTAAAGGTTTTGTTCATTGGAGTTGAAATTGGGAAATGTTGCATATTGCAATTAAGGGGCCATTATGCAGAAAAGCATGAATAAACAATTCTCTTATTCTCACATCTACAGTTAATGTAGTAATGACTTAAAACTTGACATGCCAAAGGTTTAAGATTGTGAGTCAACAAACATTAGACATGACATCAGCCTGCAATTTAACAAGATTGTTTTTTTTATTCTTGAACCACTAAGAGGTTCTAATACCTGTTTATCAAACCTCTCAGCACTGGTTGGTAAAAAGAAATCAACTGAATGATTAAAAAAATGTAAATATTCAAACCTGTCCATCAGTGCAGAGAGATCAGGCCTTGAATGATGAACTTAAAGTCATCGATTTATCTCATTAGATGTCTATAAAATACATCATGCTCTAGAACTCTACAATAAAACTATTTAAAGAGCGACTTTACCCAGTGTTATTAGTTCACAGCACCTCAACTTGAACAGAGGGACATTCCTCCTCTGGACGTTTCCATGGTAATCGAGCCGTGTGTGTTTGCTGTCTGTGTGTGTGCAAACTGTGGGTCACTACATTCAGAGGGTTTCCAACAGAGGACACTATCACTGTCGCCCCAGTGATGAGTGTGTGTGTCTGTACATGCTTCTGAGTTGTGTATGTGTTTGTGCTAAATATACCATCAAATAATGTACAGTGCTTAGGAGTTCTCTGAGCGTCACATAACACTTGGCTAAAGTGATGAAACTTGTAAAAAGGGCTGAATATGACGATTTCTCATCTGAAAAAAGCTTCAAATTTATCGAGTCCATCGTTAATTACTGAAACAACGATTGAAAAAAGCTCGCCAGTATGATACTTTTTATTTTCTATAAATTTGAGGACTAGAATCTTAAATGTAAATAAAACATCACATTGATTTTAATATTTATAAATACAAAAAAGCGCGACAAGTCAAGTCAATTTTATTGTCAATTTCAAAATATGCCAGACATACAGTGGAATCGGAATTGCGTTTGTCTCCGTCCCACGGTGCAATACGACCAAAATAAGGTAAAATAAGATAAGGTAAAATAGATAAAATAAAATGAGGTAAAATAAGATAAATAATATTTACAGTAATAAATTCTAAATTGTGCAAAAGGTACAAAATGGTAAATAAAATAAAAGAAAATGTAAAGAAAAAGTAAACTTGTGCAATATGTGCAATGTGCAGTAAACTGATTGTACTTTTGAAAAGTTAGCTTCAGAAGTGGGTTATGATTTGATACGTTTTATAGATTTTCTATGTGCGCACTCCTGACTTTATATAATTTTTCAAAATTTGAAATTAGAGACTGTGCAGTTTTTCTCTGTAAGCGTTTTTTTATAACAACAGAAACACTGTTTATGAGCAGATCATATGCATCAGCACAACTCCAGCTTTAAACATTTGTATGAGAGGAAAGAAGCTAAGTAAGCACTGTTCTGTTTGTTTATTCTTTTAATAAGCCTTAATAAAGAAGTAGAATGTAAAGCAGTGCTTTAGATCACCACCGGGGGGAGCTGCTGATTCAGTCAGTGACTCGATACATTTAGTTCAGCATGAGAATTCAGTGTTCATGAGCCTCTTCTCAACAGTGTCTGGAATATTTAAAGAGTGCAGTGCATATGTGAAAGGGCCAACAGAGACAACAAGAAAAAGAGGTAGACAGGTAAATTGTGATAAAATCAGTTTATTAAAGATTCTCCCCGGAGAGGATGTAAGGCCAGAACACAGTAGGCTGGTGTGCAAGTTGTTTTGGTTCATTACACACTCACACAACTCTTCCAAACACAGAATGGCGTCTTTCAAAGAGTTGGTTTAGTTGCCAAAAAAAAATACTAAACCCCATCTGCCCAACTGTGAACTAAACTATGAACAAAATAAACTACATCAATGAACTTTAACACGTCAATCAAAAAGTCACCTTCAGTTAAACCATCCAGCCGTTCAGTAGCTTTAAATATAAAAGAAGTTAGTTAACGAAAATCACAATCTGAGTGAATACTCTAATGTCATCGGCATAGAGAGTGAACAGTCAAATGAACTGTTGATAAAATAGAAAAGACCCTTGGCTAGTCAAGCCTAGTTATTCAAACAATTGATTTTCAAATAATTTCACTACATTATTACAATCAAAGACGGAGATATTGAATAAATGGAATATATTTAGAAGTATGCTTTATGCATTTAACTCTGTGTGTGAATAAAATTGTCTGTAGAAAGTGAAATGATTTTTCATCAATTAAGGCTTAAAGAATACATGTTTTTTTTATTGCTAATTAGCTTGGTTTATTTAATAGCTTTTGCTATTTTTGCTCATTTTTAATCCAGTGTCAGCAGACGTGGGCTCATGCAGGCTAGCTAACAATAGAACGTATTAAGTTAGTTTAAGTATTCGCTCCCCCTGAAGTCTCTGGTCATATTCCACTTGCAGCATTTCTCTCACTATTAAAAGCAAAAAATAAACTTTAACAATGATTTATAACAAACAATTTTTTGTCATTTTCTCAAATTACCTAAAATTAATTTTGCAATGCAGTTTCTCCAGACAGGTTATTTCTGACTAGCTAAAGCTTTAATATTAGCGGCCACTGAAATCTGTGGTTATAGTTTCAATTTCAGTGTTTTTCTTCCAAATAGGTTTAACTTTGTCTTATTTTACAAGCTGTTCGTTTTCTAACTGTTTCTCTTTTGGCCTTTCAGTACTAAAAATTCTGAAATATTTTTGTATTTTTCTTTCTTACTGAGGAATAAAAAACAAATACACCTTCACCTGCATGTAGGAGCATAACTGATAGCACAGTAAAAGTACTTTTCTTTCCTTTTATTGAAAATTGACCTGTTCACATGATTTAAAATGACTGTGTTGCAGATTATAGTGTAAAACGTTTCTGATTTTTATGCGTCAGTGGCAGGGCCAAATTAAAGACTAAATGGTTTCTAATACACAAATACTGAATAATAACGTTGATTGTTCTATTCATTTAGTCTCTGCAGTGAACTTGGCCCTGCTGGCATTTTAAAAGTGAAAAGAAAATCTGAAAGTATTTCTGCAAGACTTCTAATAGATGCTAATCATTATTTGTAAAAACACAATGATAAAGTTATGACGATGCAGAACCAACCAACAGGAGCAGACTCATGTACATACATGCACACGTAATCAGAGTTATACTTCAAAGCTGATGCAGTCAGAGATATTGAACTTCAAAAACAATGATAGATGGAATCAGCCTCTAGAGTTCTTTTCTGTATTTATGATAAATCCCTCCACAGTTTACTTCAGCATCATTCCTCTTCTCTTTCTCGCAGTCCAACTATTCCTACTATTTGATTCGTTTTGCAACATCCAGGTAGGCAAACTGAATCTCCTTTTCAGCCGGACAGGTTCTGATGAACTCCTCCCTCTCATAGGCGCTGTTTAAGTACCTCCACACCCCCGTCATCTCGACTGGGATCTCAAAGCCACGGTATTTCTTGGCTACAATCTGCAAACAACAAGAAGTGACTATGAGTTAGTTTAACAGTAGCCGTGAGCTTTGGTTGTTTTTATCTTATGATTCTAAAAATGTATTTCTTTGATCTGCAGTATTATTTCTCAACTTTTGATTTCCTTGAATTATAAAAAATAAGATTAAATGAACCTTCAAGATGTGTAGTTTAGGCAGCAGGTTGCAGTCAGCCAGGGTGAGCTCATTCCCATCCAGGAAGCTCCTGGTGGACTCGGGCACATCTCCTGAGGCGTTAGCGTCAATCTCTTCTGACAGGGGAGTCCTCAGGAATTCATCGAGTCGCTTTAGAGACTTTAACAAGGCTTTCTCTAAACCTGTAGTTAGAAGCATACGGAGAGACACATTTGTTAGCTCCTCGAGGAAGGCCAAATGTAAAATAGAAATCTTAATCCCAATTTATCATTCTTGGTCCTCTAATTTTAACCAGGTCTTTGCTTTTCTTGTTAGCCAAACAAGATATCATCGTGCACAAGGTGGCAAACAACAGCCTACATGTAAGATTAGGATCCATTATAATCATTTTGGTGTTCATCAGATATATTAATATTCTGACACATATTAGCTCTGTTTGGGTCTCCACCAATTACTGAGAATAAATGTGGTTAATTAATCGCTAAATGCTTCATTATGTTCTTACTGTATCTGCCTTTGAGTGGTTAGGATTTGTCAGAACCTGTTAGCCACATTAGCATGTTGAAATGCTAAATTAAACAAATTATTAGCATGTTAGCATTCTTGTTGTGCATATTTTAGCATGCAGAAGCTAGCCACGATTTTTTCCTCACTCTCTTTCAAGGTGTATTTCTATTGTGTGGCACCTAGCCTACCAGATTGGTGCTCATGTAAAAAAAAACTTAAGAATGTGTTATTTTACCCTCGTTGACATCTTTCCGTGGGTTTTTGATGTAAGCTGAGAACTTGGCAAACACATCGATGCCAGCTGTGTTGGCCTCTGGATGTTTGGGAGCCAGTTTGGGGTATCTGGTATAAAAGATACAGTAAAGTAGGCAAATAATTCCCTGAATGCAATTCGATCTATCAATTAAGGAAAGCATTATTCCATTTCTTTATATCATTTGAGAGATTGTTTGTGCATCTTGGCAGTGTGTGTTTCTGCACCGTGGTGGGGTTAGGTTCTCCTCCAGGAACTCCTCTATCATGTTTACATCGACCTTGACCTCGCCATTAAAGGTCACAAAAGGAGGGTTGGTTCCTGGAGCAAGGTCCTGCAGGTCAGCCGGCTTCCTGTCGACACAAAACGAAATATTATTCAAACACTAACACAAAAAAGCACGAGTGCCATAAATAGAAATATAAGCACTGAACATAAAAGCTTTTCCCTGAATGTTCTGTCCTCAGGACAGAATGTTTCCAAGAGAGCGGAAAAAACAAGGATTTATGTATCTACTCCATGGACAGAAACACATTTAGAGACTAAATATGTGAGAGTAGCTTGTTACCGTTTGAGGTCAACAGTGGTGACGTTGAAGATGACTCCTTTTAGCCACAGGATCATAAAGAGTCTCTGGGAGAATGGACAATTACCAATGCTTTCCCCATCAGTTCCTGCCTGTACAAAAACACACAAATGCAATGTACGTTCAGGGACATGCAACCTAAAAAAATCCTTTAAAAACACATCACCTGTACAAATACATACATAGGATATCCATAAGCACATGTAGAAGAAAAGTTGTGTGAGTTAATTCAGTCCCTGGCATGAAGTCTGTATGGATAAATAAGTTGTGGTGCGAATGTTTTCTCATCTATTGAAATTTCAGTACTTAATATTGATTAATTATCCTCAATTGTATGGGAAAATACTCTCAGTATTGTGTTGGTTATCACAGAATTTCCTGCGGTTATTCACCAGTTTGATTGATCCCCAGCCGGCGTGTTGCTGCACGTGTTTGTCATTATCAGTGTCTGCAACTTTTCTTTTTCATTGTGCCAATGAGTGCATTATATAGTCCCCCATAGAGAGCTCCCTATGTAGGACATAGTGGGTAATGAGTGAGTGTTTTTGGACACAGCCTACCTGTTTTTCCACTTACAGTCACATGATGACAACAAAGCTATCTCCATGACAACTGGGCCAAAGCCATCTGCTGTTAGGTCGTACTTATATTTAAAGACTCATAATTTTACATCAAGAAAATTACTTTCTGTTTTACTCCAACAGCAACTAGCAGCTAAAGAGTGAAATATTTCCTTCAGGATTTGGTGGAGACCCAACCAGAGCAAAAGATGTTGAATTTTGGACATTCATGAAGGTGACAGAAATAGGCAATCGGTTAATGTAACAATTAATGCAGCTTCGAAATGATCAAAACCTTTGTGATTAAATTTGGTTACTCTAAACTATTCAGTACTCTCACTTACTCAGTTTCACCAATGGACACTGTGTGGATGACCAATCAATTGACTGATCAGTCACTTGCCTCTGTTAAGTTTTAACAATGCTTACCTTTACAAACAGCTCAATGGAAGGGAAGCCCAATTGTTTAACTGCATTGTCATAAAAGGACATGTTGAACAATCCTGCTCAGGTTTCCCAATGGGTTAAAAACTCCAAAAAAAGACCAAGTAATAAAAGTCAAAACTTAGGTTTTCTTCTCAGGAAAGATGAAGTATAATCCATGTTCAGTTAATCCACAACAACTTCTCTGTTGCCCTCCAACAAAGCTACGATTACCAACAAGCAGCACCATTTCTTTCTGTTCTTCCATTCGACCGTCCATCTGCTCCTCAGATTTTCTTCTGCTTTCTGTGGTATGTCAGTGTCTGCTCACACAATCACTCTTTGTCAGAACAATAATAAATCTCAGCCTCAAGGGGAATCGTGTGTCTGCTTGTGTAATAATCAGATTGTTGGAGTGAAGATTTGTTCACAGAAAAAGATTTGCATTATTTGGGTAACGGTTTGATAAGATTTGTTGTAACGTAAAACCAGAATGTCATTTTAAGGGCCACATTTTCCAAGATCTGAAAACGTTTGGCAGTATACAGGAAGTCCCAAACCTGTGATAACACAATTTTTATTTCAGTGCTTCCATTCCTGATTTATAAAATTTTGTTTTCATTTTTTAATTTATTTTTCTGACAGGCAAACCAGTATTTAAGCAAATGACAGGCACACAGGCAATGTTTCATGCTGTTCTTATCGCCAACCTGTCGTCTGTCAAAGAAATGCCTGCAAGTAGAGGAAAATGTCGAAGGTACAAAAGACTTGTGCTCTGCTGTTTGCCGTGAGTTGGTTTACCATAAATATCATAATCTGATATGGAGGTCATTGTTAGTGTGAAGTTTTGAGACTCAGAACAGTGTAAGACTCCCTTCATTATTCAGAGGAGGGGGCGGGAGTGGAATCTGTGCTCCATCACAAACTCACACAATGAACCCAGTGTAAGAGCGATGTGTTACAGCAGGGATAGAACGATCTTTTTCACACCCACAGCGGATGAGATTTCTCCTTTGTTTTGCTTTTCACCTCTGTGCTCAACATTATGTGCGCCTTCTAACACTTTACACATGAAGCTGCCACTACCTTTACACTATGTAACTTATCAAAAGCTTCAATCTCTGGAGAAAATAACATGGACCCTGAGGTTGTATCATCAGAATCTGAATCTGAAAATGTTTGTTGTGGTGAAATTCCCACTCCTCTTTCCATGTGTACTTTGGACCAGTAGCTTTGCTCTAAGCCTCCGTTATGTTTTCATGCTCTGTTCTTGAATAGTTCAGGTCGACATTAGAAATGTTTTAAAATGTATTGGTCATAATTGTTTTATTTAAAACTCTCTAATCGTCTTCAGGGCCAATCAGAGAGCCTCATGGCCTCTTAGCCTTGAAGATAATAGATGTATCAATGTGACAGCGTCAATGTTGATCCAAGTAAAAAAAAAAAAAAAGAAGCCAATGCATTGTTGTTAACTTCTATTAACTTTCCCGATTGTAATGCATTTAATTCATAAAAATAATATCGGAATGTGCCTTCCAAACCACAGTGTCTATTTATTTAGACGGCGAAACGCTCTGCAGTGAAATGTAGAAACCTTGAATGTGGTTGAGATCGCTTCCTGACTGTTAAACATAGTGCGCATGTAGAATTCAGTTTGATATGAGTTTGCGATGTTTCAAGCAATCACGTTTCCCAGAGCTGTCAGCAAAAAAAAAAAACAGGCGGCTAATCAGCTTACAGAGTGAGAATGTAGAGATTAACCCTGCATGCTTCTGGCTGCAGCACAGCACTGTTGATCAGGAATGAGTGCCCTAAAAATGGCCGCTTAGTCTGCTTGACAGCAATGTAACAGAAATGTACTGAATTGAATCACAAATCAGAATAGAACGACTTTTTCTATTGTTTTGACACAATGTCTCCACAAGACGTTTTACACCCATGTGAGGTGAAAAAAAGGCAGTCGAACGTGTGTTCCTCAAGTGCTTCAAGGAAGAACGCTTGAGCCTTCCTGTAATTTTTCCATCTAGCTCAGCCAGTGCTGCCAACAGAGTCCCCGACAAAAGAAACCATTGTTTGAATTTGAGCTCCCACGGAGAACAAGCTTTTTGTGTGTACGCGTGAAGCAGGGCTCAGATATTAGTGCATTTTTTTCTTGCCGTTAAACCTCTCTGCCCTCTTTTATTCTCACCTCGGTGAGGAATGTGCTGCTGAGCTGTGGAGCATAATTGACCTCTGCTTATGGAGATTGGAAAGATATGGAAAATGTTCTAACCTACACAAACATCAAATGTCTAACAAGGAAACAAGATCATGTGTTTCTAGTATTGTGTCCACAACCTTTAGATCACATGCAGTTGGCAATAGGCTACCATGCTTGATGGATAAGTAAATCACCACCTTAATGGGATAAGGTAAGCAGATCAAGACGGGGCTTCTCTCTCACTTGCTCTGCCTCTCTGTATCTCACTCACACAAGATTATATGCCACATGCCAATAAGGAAAACATCAATGCCAAAGACAATCAAATCACGCCAACAGACAAACAATAGTTGTATTGTTGGATTTAGTAAGCTCTTTTTCTATATGAACTGAGTATTCTTTAACCTGGCTTCACTTCTTTGGACGTTTTTAACCAGTGTTATGGTATCCACAACGGCTTTTTTACTCTCAGATATATTGTTATTATCCAGAGGACCAAAAAGTTGGTTGTGTTGTTGCTTTGATAAACAAATGAAGTTGCATTTCCATTGGGTTGCTTTGTATGCTACAGGTTGCAGTGACTGTTTTTCATCCAAACAGCATGCCACGGGACTGCTCGTGCTCATGTTGAGATCCCTGGTTCAACAGTGGCCTTAATCCGGTGTTCCTGTTTCCCAGTCATGTCAGACTCCAAATATATGCTACTCCAAAACTCAAGCGAGTTAACTGATTCAGAGTTATGTATTTGGTTATTTCAAAGATTTTGTTTCGGATCCCCATTGGCCCAGGTTAGGAAGGCCATAATGTGTTCAAACCAGCTTACATATTGGCCTTCAGTGCCCAAATATGCAACTGCCTTGCCACTGTTACAGTTGCTGCTTTGGGCCCAAAATGTTCTGATCCCCAGCCTTAAAATACACTTTACTACATGGCATGTGTTGTTCATGTGAAACTGTCTTTTTGGTTAAGTAAGGGGGTGGGATATCATGGAAGGTTCAAACCATTGGGCAATTAAAACTTTGGTTTCACACAAGACTTAAACACAAAGAACCATGCAGGAACTCTTGTTTTTAGTGTTTGTGAAAGGTTAGTGACTAAGGGTTAACATGCAGTGTTTATGTTGGTTTTTAGAATGTATTACCTTAACATAAAGGGAGATCACGTAGTCCTGGTCTGGTGGTGTTACGCAGTTCCTGCGCAGAGGAGGTGGAAGGCTCTCCATCATCTTGCGGGACACCAGTTTTACATCCTCACACTTCTCCTCGGTCATCACCTCCCGCTGGGGCCTGTAGGACTGGCCATCCTCGAACAGCACCACTCGTTTTTTCTTCACCTGCTCGTCCTTCTTTTTCATTCTGGTCAGGGATTCATCTTTGATCACTGTTTTCAGCTCCTTTATCCAGTCCATCTTCCTTGCTGGACTTTTCCGATCAGGCGATTTTGCCTCTCTTTCCTTTCTTACCCTGTCAACTTCTCGCCTTTCTGGAGATTTTGCCTCTCTTTCCTTTCTTTCCCTCTCCGCCTGCCAGGCGTCCTTTTTCACCGGTCTCAATTCTTTCCTCCAGTCTTTTACCTTTGTTACTCTCTCCTCCTTGGGTTGATCTCTCTTAATCCAGTCAGTATCTTTTCTCCTGGTTGATAGCACCTTTGGTGTCTCCAGTTCTTCTTTCCTCGGTGGCAGCAGCTCAGGACTCAAGATCCCATTCTCCATTTTTTGCTTCAGTCCTTTGACTCTTCCGTTTATATCCAATTCAAACTCTCTGTTGTCATCTTTTGGCTTCTCATCCATCTCTAACTGTTCTTCTTCATGTTTATGTTTCTCATCAATCTCCATTCCGTCCTTTATCTCGACTTCAGAAGGACCAGACGCAGCGGCAGGCCTCTGTTCTTCAACCTCTCTACTTGGGCCGTCCTCTAGCTCTTCAATCTCATCATCTAAAACTGTCACTGGCTCCTCCGCAAACTCCACTTCTACCAATTTTTCCTTTGCTTGTCTTCCCTTCTCATCTTCTGCAAGGGTCTGCTGTCTTCCATCTTCTCTCGAGTCTTCTCCCCAATCTCTCCCTGCTTCTGCGAGGAGCTGTGAGTGATGCTCTTGCAGATCCTCTCCGTCCTCTGTGGTTGACTCGTTCTCCTCCGACGAGACTTCCTCAGCGGGCTTCTCAGCTTCAACTTCACTCTCTTCCTCCAGCTCGTAGGCCTCCTCCACCTGCTCCAAACCCTCATCTCCCTGTGTATCCAAAGTTGCCTCATCGACATACTGCTGTACCGGATTGGAGAGATCTGCCTTAACCTGTACTACCTTCTCTGGGTACTCAACATCACTCTCTAGCTTTCTGAAATGATCACCTGTGTTTCTCTCCTCATCTTGACTCTGTCTTCTACGGACCAACATTGCTAAAGTGTCAACCCCGAGCTGTCGCATTTGCTCTTCCTCTCGCTCCCTCTTATTGAGCTCTACCATTTTTGCTTTCTCAATTTCTACCTCTGTCTTTACCTTTTCTTCAGATGGTTCAAACAAGTTTGGTTTCTCTGTCTTCTGGATTTCTTTACCCCTGATGCCAAAAACATCTTCAGAAGCAGGCATCGCTTTTTCAACAAACTTCTTGCTTCCCTGATCCTCCACTTTTGCCTCGATGCGAACCTCCTTTTGCCAAGTGATGTTACCAGTAACAGACTCAACTCCCTGTTTGCCAAATTTTGAGTTGTCCTCAGTGTTTTTAATTTTGTCCTCGTTAAATCTATTGGTCTGATTGACGGCAACTTTAGTGAGGCCAATTGTTTCAAAGGGTTTGCCATTGTCGTGAACAGTCGAGGCTCTGCTTATATTATCTCTAATGTTGTCTTTCTCAGTTGTCCTCATGGTAGCAGGGGTCACAACATGTTCTGTGGCTTTAGCACCAGTGGGTTGGCCAGCATTTGATGCTTTGTTTGTGTCACACATAGGTAATTGTTTAGCCTCTCCTGACTCTTTAATGAGAGCACCTCTGTCCTGAATGTGCACTGTTACATCAGCTCTGGACACTACCTGGTTTTCCTTTAACCCATTGCCTCTATCATTAGTCCTCTCCCACCTTATCCTTGTTTCTGGACTTGCCATCAATGCCTCTTGTACATATTCTTCTTCGTCTATGTTTTCTGAATCATCTTCTTGGCTGTTTAATAACTGCACTTGACCTCTATTTACTGTGATCAGTGGTGAAAAGTGAAATCGACTTTCCATCACTGACTTTGTGTCGTTGGACTTGACTTGACCCTCTTTTACTCTCGCCTGATCTTGCGTCAAGTCAAGTTCTTCCAACGCCACTTCGAGTCCGTCCTCCCCATTTTCCTCCAGGCTTTCTGCTCCTTCATCCCTCTCTCTCCCTACTCCGTTTGATAACAGGGCCACTGGGATAATCCTCCTGTCCTCTCTGCTCTCTACTTCTTCTTCTTCTTCTTCTGCTTCTCATCATCATAATCATAATCATCTTCGTCGTCTTCTTCTTCTTCTTCTTCTTCTTCTTCTGCTTCTTGTGCCTCTCCCGCTTCTTCCATCATTAAAACATCCTCCCCTACCTCCTCAGCTAACTCCACCTCCTCATCTTCCTCTTCAGCCTCCTCTACATCTCTTCCTTGCTGAGTGTCAAACTGCGGACTGATATTTAGTGGGTTGCGGAAAACAACACCTTTTGACAAAGCTGGATTTGGGCGAGAGCCTCGATGAGCCATTTGTTAAATTTTGAAGAAATGATTCAACACTTACTTCAGGTTAATTTGTGCCAATCTTCCCAGGTTCTGTTTGGGATCACACAATATATTGTGTTTGTGGAATGGGCCCAGTATTCCAGAAATGGTCAAAAACTGATTTTTGATTTCGGTTCCAAAAGCTTCCAGTTTGCGGATCAGGTCCAAAAGGAAGTCTTAGTGTTTGGTTGACCCAGGTAGTCCAGAAAAAAAATCCCACAACGATCACTTCTGAGGTTCCAAGATAAGGCTAGAGAGGATAAAAGTAAGTGTTTCAAAGTTTACAGAAGGAACCAAATCCTGGAATAACTCCCAAGTTGCTTCATGAAGGATGACTCTCGCAAGAGCCCTGGATTCCACAATGGCACCAAAATAAATCTGCGCAAAGTTAAGAACTGTGTAAAAATGTTTTACCAAATATGCTGGCAAATTAAAAAAAACAATTCCTGATATTTTACGACTGAAAATCACAACACAGTTTGGTTCAAGATTAGAGTTCAAGAACTCTCTCTCTCTCTCTCTCGATTCTTTGCTTCGCTTGTGGCTCTGGAATTAGTACTGCACCTTAAGCAGAGTTAGACATTGATAAATACAATTTACCTCTCTCTCTCTCTCTCTCTCTCTCTCTCTCTCTCTCTCTCTCTCTCTCTCTCTGTGTCTCTCTCTCTCTCTCTGCCTCTCTCTCTCTCTCTCTTTCTCTCTGTCTCTTTCTCTCTCTCTCTCTCTCTCTCTCTCTCTCTTTCTCTCTGTCTCTCTCTCTTTCTCTGTCTCTCTCTGTCTCTCTCTCTCTCTCTCTCTCTCTCTCTCTCTCTCTCCCTCTCTCTCTCTCTCTCTCTCTCTCTCTCTCTCTCTCTCTCCCAAAAGGATTATATGGACGCTGATCCCCACATGACCTGCAGCTTAAACCCCTCTGCCACCCAGAGACTAGCACCACTTGAGGTGAGTTCCTTACACACACACACACACACACACACACACACACACACACACACACACACACACACACACTACACACCATTATTACAAACAGAATAGTATTCATACACCAGACAGACATAAGCGTGTTCTTATTTAACAATAACAGATGACATTGTTAGGTGTACCTCACATTTTTTTTAGTTCTATCTTAACAGCTGATGTAATGCCTGCTATAGAAATATACACTTTAAGTAAATCAAGTTAAAGATATCTATCTGCATAGATATGCATAGATATAACACTAAAACACACATTATCTTCCATAATTAAGTCAGAAGCGACAAATGAATAATGCTCTTAAAACCTGTAATAATTACTTCTGCCACAAGAGGGCAGAATATTGACTTCAATTAACATCTTGACAACATTATTAGTGAAAGAATCTTGATGTTATCAAAAGTTTCTAAAATGTTGACCCTGTTCTTTATTCTGAAATATATTTTGCAATGTAAATCTCGATATCTTAAAGGTGTGTGGACATAAACCACAGGTTGTGTGAGTTTCAATTCACCTTTTTATACTGTATTTAACATTATTTTTATTTTCTTTCTTTCCCCAATCTTGTTCATATGGACTACCAATGAAAACACTGTTGTTTATACTAATGCTCCGTTCAAGTGCTCCTCGGATGCTCGGACTCTCAAGGTGAGATGTCATTCTTCCGACCTTGATGTGTTTTCGAGCTTTAATTGTAATGTGAAAACAACATGACACACAATTAAATCATTAATCATTTTTTATGTTGTTCTGAACCAAATAATTTCACCACCTAATCGAGACAAACACACTCCGTCTTTCTTCCATATTACTATTTGCCAATATACCAGACATAATTTTGCAATAATTGTATTCATAAATAGTTTTGACCTAAGTCGAGCGTTAACTTTGTTTCACCATGTTTCTGATCACATGATCTCAGGTACAAACATTGAATCTCTCCATTAGTGCATGTCCACAGGATCCTGTGTGTATATTTCAGCCTATGTGTGTGTTGCATGATAAACAGAGTGTAAAAAACAGAAAGTCAATCTGCTGGAGCTATTTAATTGTGGTTAGAATTAGTTGTTGTATTTAGTTTACTAATAATTGGGTGGTGTTGTTTATTTAATTATTCTCCACGTCACCAGTTGTTGTTCCGAATTGAGAGACGAGGCAACCAGTAGGAGTCTCATTTCTCCGACACCCCTTGAACGCTCTTGATTCTGCTGAACCGGAAACGACGTCATCTCCTTTATCCTTTGCGCAGTGTCAAGAAATGAATCCAAAAAGGCTCAACCACAGTTAATATTAGACGATATTGCTCTGTTCCGGGTTAAGACAAGTCCAAGTGTCACACGAAAGCCTTCACGTGTTGACACCGAGGCGGAGAAAATCACGGAATATCGCGAGATTCGGTTTTTAAAAGTTATATTTTCGGATTTCTGGTTAGCACAAGTTGCTATCCAGCTTTGTGCAGCTTCTGAGCACTAATACAGTCAAGACTTGTGTCTGCTGTTTGGAGGAATACATCACTGACACAGCTGTTTATTATCATGAACTAAAGTCTACAGCTTCATCGGTGTGTATGACATTGAATTTAAACGCTTTTCATATAAAGTCAGATGTTTGGAAATGGGCGTTAGCCGAGCACAAGTTTGATTGTTTATGTTTTTGTGTGTGCAGAAGAGAGTCCAGATATCCGAGAGTCGTGATGCAGCGTGAAGAAGAGGCGACTGTAGATGTGCAGTTTACAGATTTACCAAACGCCCTGATCGCCTGCAAAGTCCCAGAGGATTTATTCAATGAAGGCAGCCTGAAGGTGAGGACTGAGAAACTGTCTTTTCTGCACAGGGAACATGTTCAACTTTGACATTTGATTCATTTGTGTGCCCCTTTTTTTTGTGTTATATCATTTCCAACCTTTTAAGTGTTTTAAATTTAGGAAAAATAGTTATAATAAATCATTTCTGAGGCAGTAATTCAAGGAAACAATTCACTCAGCAAAGAGTAAGAACAACTCAAGCAAGGATCTAGAAAAAAGGGAACAATGTGAGTAAGAGCAAACGATCAGCTTTGAGTCTGATTGGACACACAGGTGCTGAGAGCTCTAATCAGTATAGAAACCATCTTATAAGTCGTCGTTATCAAACAAAAACCATCGTCATTACCATCATCATCATCAATAATATGGAGACCATCATCATTAAGTTAGTAGGTATTCATGAAAGAGCTGGGTCTTTAGCTTTTTCTTAAAGGTGCAGAGGGACTCATTCCACCACCGGGGGGCGACAGAGGAGAAGAGTCTAGTCAGAGACTTAGGAGCCTGTTGATCAGACGCCTTTCATTGGCAGAGCGTAGAGGGCGGGAGGGAAAGATGTTAGGAGAATTCATAAAGGACTTAGGGAAAGGCGATCTCGTTGCTCTGACAATCCGACCACATTTCCACTAGGCGACGTCGCGACGGGCCGGCGGAGGTTAATGACGTGGGTCCGCCGTGTTGAAACTACAATGTTCCGAAAATGGACGACAAAAAACGCATCTAAAGAAGTTTTTCTGTGCCTTCTTACCGGTGAAATAATCCTGATCACCACAAGGTTGGGATTGAAATAAAAGAAATATAGACTACCAGGCTACAAGTAAGAAAAGTGAAACCATCACCTTCCTGTCCACTCAGAAATCAACATCAAAATAAATATGAAATTAATTGTTACATTAATAAGATATAACCTACATATAATGTTTTAAGCATACAAATGTACAACTGCACAAAGCATTCTTAAGTGAATGAAATATGTTGAATAAAACATCATCTGTGTCACGTTACGATCATCGTTAATGTTCCTGAGCGGTCGGATGCGCGACTCGCTCTTATCATGGCCGCCACTTAAATGCTTCCGGGGTTAAGGTTAAGTGGATAGTGAAAGGAGATAGGAGGGACAATTCGAACGCACCCCATCATTCATGTGATTTGGAATTGAATTAAGAATAGGCTGAAGTACACACACATGCACAAACAGGATCCTGTGGACATGCACTAATGGAGGGATGTCAGAGTGACGGAGCTGCCCACAGCGGGCGCTCCTGAGCTGCCCACAGCGGGCGCTCCTGAGCTGCTTGGGGGGTTTGGCACCTCGGCGGTGCTCAGGAGGTGATCTGGCACCTCTCCAGCTCCCAGACCAACTTAACATATTTTGGTCCGCACTGGGACTTGAACCGGCGACCCTCCAGTTCCCAACCCAAGTCGCTACAGACTGAGTTACTGTCATGCTATGTCTGATTGTTGGAGCCAGATTTATAGTTTTGAATCAAGAAAATGAAATGTGGAAATCATATGAGTTAAATAACAGATAAATTAGATACATATGTTTACTCCCCTTAGTTCCCTTATACGTTGGTTGCCGTTTACCTGACAGTAACCTGATGTGTGTGTGTGACGTCTGCGCTCCACCTGGCTTCTGTGGACATGAGAGCGCTCATAGGCAGCCTTCATGTGGAGTGTTTGTCTCTCTGTTTGTGGGTAAGATGGCAGAGAGCAACAGTTGTCTATGATCCTCTGTGATTGCTGCCATGTTTGTTTGTTTGGCGGCAAACCGCCTCGTCTGGCAACCCTGCAGATCAAAGCAATGGTTTGTGACTCGATCAGCGTTAATCCCGCCCACTGAGTTTGATGGGAGAGGATGACAGATAAATTATTTCATGATGCACTGCTGGAGCAGGAAACATGAAATACTTAAATAAATAGTGGAATGAATAGATGTGCTTTTACATAGAATGAATGAACATTTAAAATAATTATTTATTTATTTATATATTACCAATTTTAAATAATTAATGACACAATTAAATAATTATTTAATTATTTAATAACACATGCATTTGATTAATTAATTAATTATATATTTATTTATATATTTGTTGATTTATTTCCAATATTAAATAATTGATGACACAATTAATTATATATTTATATATTTCATTTTGGCACTTTTAGTCCTCCATACTTTTAACTGCCTTTTTTATATATATATATATATATCCTAAATGTCTGTATCGCACTTTGATACGAACCCTGTTTGTATTTAAAGCACTATATAAATAAAGTGTACCTTGACCTTATCTAAAGTGTGTGTCAGTAACAAATCTAAAGTAAGCACCTTTAAATAGCTAATTCACTGATAGATTTCATTTTAAGGGGAAGTATCAGATGCTTTTTATCGACCACTAGATGGAGTTGAAAAGTTAAATATTACTTGTTTGGATATTTCTGGAATCACTAAAAAACTCCCTTCCCGGTGCCTTAGTCATCCTGAGTTATTTAATGTCTAAACCTGAATAGCATTGCTCTAATTTTACCCAAGCAGACGAGGCACAGGAATGACATCAGCCACAGAGGTGCATCATTGGAAAGTTTCCTGTCATGTTCTGTGGACATTTGAGTCTTATGTAAAACCTGTGCTGAGCAGTAGATTTAGAAACAGTCCACAGATGAGTAATCTAGTTTTAGAAGACATATTTTATGGTTTGTATTGTATTAATATGTCACCGTTGACTTTTGTTATGAAATGATTTATTGAGGTTGATGACAAAGACATATTGGTGATGCATATTCTCCATGGTGTAGTCGCACACTCTCTCTTTATGTAGGGCGGGTTAATGTCGACAACGAGGACACTCCAATGAACATATTCTGTTTACCTTATTACATGTGTCCTCATCCTAACAGCCAGTAGTGTGAGGAATGAAACTTTGTTAAGTACTCGACAAAATGTGTTTGTCGTTTGTAGCATATTGAGGGCAGAAAGCTTTGATCATGTTGATCTGTATCACAGTTTGAACAATGTTATTCATTTTCTTTGACTTTAAGTTATAACACTGCGGCAGAGAACAGGCGAGAAAAACAATGAAGTATAAATATGTTGAAGTCATTGTTTCCAGTGATAAGTCTCTGAATAGAATAAAGGTTCAGATGCAAGCTGTGACTCATTGGCAGGTGACACCTGACTACATTCAAATATGCAAATATACTGACTGGGTCACTGTTGTTGTTTGTGTACTCCTATTAAAACCCGGATAATATTGGATTTGATATCTGTTGTTGTTTTAGATCACTACTAGATTTTCACTGTGATTGTAATGAACCAAAAAAAAAGACTTCTACATCAGGAATTTTAGTTTTTATGAGAAGACATCCTGAATAACTTTCCCTGATCTGCGAGTGAGATCTAGAAGAGTTGCTGATTGTGACAGACAGGGTGTGTTGCAAAGTGGTATTTGTGGTTTGAACTGTGTTTGCGTTAAATGCATCAACAGTAGAAAACAAGTCAGACAGTGGAAAAACCGACTCAGTGGAAAACAGCCAGGCACTCAATAGGGAGACTCATCATGCTCTTTATATCATTAGAAGAATATTTGTTTCAGGAAAAAGTTTTATATGAATGGGGGTGTAGGGCAACACCTTCTCCTCTGAGGCAGTTTGCATTGCCAAAGAAAAGCTGTTATGATGTGTTAGGGTGAGACTGTGGAAGGATCCCGGGGAGGCGGACAAACCTGACAGCCCGTTAACACATACATCTAATTGCTGATATACACACGGCTGATTTCCCAGACGCACGCACAGACGGGGCAGTGAGACGAGCCGATGTGTTGTGGCTGCTATAGGGGGGGTTTCGCTGAGTCTGATGGAAAAGGACGACAACATAGGGGAGAGGAGGGCAAAGGGCATCTGGTGGAATAATGACTTGTGTTGTCCTTTTTTGTTGTTTTTTCTTTTCCTTCTTGTCTTTCCGCCAAGATACGGCCACTTTTTCCACCGGGCATGTGTAAGGGATTGAGGGTCAGCTGATGTATCATATGGCAAAATATTCCACTGAGGGAGTGGGGAACGTTTCATGAGAACTCCTGAGTAGTTTGATTCTGTGAAGGAGTGAGTTTACTTCAGGGGTAAGAGGAAGGGGATCAGTTTCACACAGTATTTGCTTTTCCATCTATCTGTTTTAATGTGCACTTTAAAAAAGCAGAATCGACACAATAACTGCTTACGATTGGCTGAGGTCTAAAAGTTAGTTTATTGATAAATGAAAGTGGGCCAAAGAGCAATAGGAGGATTAATCATGAGGAATGTTCCATAAAGGCACTTAGACCCTAAAGGGGCTTGCATGACGGACCCAGTGTAAGGTGGTTTTATTGTCCTACAAGTAACCAATCAATAAAGAGTATAAATGTGAGACACATCGTAAAAAGACATTACTGAAGGACAGACTCAGTGGAAGCAGTCAGCACCTCATGAGGCAGCTCCTCGTGCTCTTTATGAGTTGGAGATGATTTGTTTGAAGAGAAAGTGTTTTACATGAATGGGAGGGATAGAAGCGTTCATTTCTGTTTTGTACTTTCTAAAAGCTTGTGCCATGTTGAGCGTGGTCTGTGAAACACAAGAAGAAGACGTTCTATTTTTCTTTACCTGGATTAGGATAATTATGGATTTATTCATGAGCTTAGACCTTTTAGGGGCGTCAAATTTCATCGTGCTGCAACCTTTTTGACCGGAAACATCACCACTCATTTGAAATATAATCACATAACTTAGATTTCTGTGGTCGGTCTGAACACAACCTGCTGCTATAAAAGGCAGCGACCCTGACCCTGCAGACCCTGTGCTGCATTTACAGGCCCCCTCCAAAATGAATGGTAGTGCTTTAAACAATGGGAGTATTTCAGAGTAAGCCTTGTGAACTTTTCCTTCCTTCTAATATAAATCCTCAAATCAACATTACAGTCAAGTTTGTCATTCTGAGATGAAGATACGTGCTCTGCAGAGAACAG